AAGAGTCTGTGCTCCCCGCTTTAGGGCTATCGCACATGAAATGCATAACAGAGCATAAGCATAATGTAAGGCCGTTAAACCAATGAGCATTTAATGTAAATCAATATGGCGACATTATGCTAGATGCTCATTGGTCCAGCAGTCTTATGTTACGCTTATGCTCTGTTATGCATTTCATGTGCGATACCCTTTAGGCCTATCGCACATGAAATGCACAATAGAACATAACATAAGACCGCTCGACCAATGAACATCTTATGTAAATCAATATGGCGACTTAATGGTGGATGCTCATTGGTCCAGCGGTCTTATGTTGTGTTTATGCTCTGTTATGCATTTCATGTGCGATAGGCTTTAGGGCTATCGCACATGAAATGCATAACAGAGCATAAGCATAACATAAGACTGCTGGACCAATGAGCATCTAGCATAATGTCGCCATATTGATTTACATAAGATGCTCATTGGTTTAGCGGGCTTATGTTATGCTTATGCTATGTTATGCATTTCATGTGCGAGAGCCCTTAGCGTTTTCGGCCCGGCCAGGTTTGCACCAACCTGGGTTAAGCCGTAATCACACTAGCGATTGGCGATTGTAATTGACGATTGAGGATTACTTTTCAACCAATCAGAGCCCGAAAGTCACCGATTTCTTTGCTCCGATTGGTTGAAAAGTAATCCTCAATCGTCAATTACAATCGCCAATCGCTAGTGTGATTACGGCTTTAGATTAATGGCCTTTCGTGCTCTCCTATTGGTAGAGCGGGTGACGTCAACCAATAGCAAAGATTAATCCAACCCAGGTTGGTGCAAACCTGATCGGGCCGAAAACGCTATTTTGCATAAGTCCGGATCTACAATAGGTGTTTTATGCCTTATGCCGTAAGAAACTGACCAATTACAGTCGAATCCGAGAAGAATAAGCGACTGTGATTCGCCCATTTCTTATGGTTTAAGGCTTAAAACTCTATTGTAGATCCGAACTTATGCATTTCATGTGTGAAACCCTTGAGGCTTAAGGCCGCAGTATACACTCTTGCATACTTAGAACATACATAAATGGAACGGGCATTGCCTATACTTCCCATGGCTCGCGCTGATGCAAACGTCTGTACGAGAGAAAAAGGTAGAGTAAGGGATAAATGTTCCCAATGCGCATGCGCAGCATCACGTTTTACACATCTGTGAAATGTACGAATGTGTAAAAACACTAAACCAACTGCAGAATTCACACAGATGATGGTGCTGCGCATGCGCATTGCAAACATTTATCCCTTAATACCTTTCTCTCTCGCACAGATGTGGCTTCACGTTCAGAGTCCTATGCCACTTCCATTTATATATGTTCTAAGCTTGCATAACGCATAAGAGCCCAGACACAAGCTTTTGCATAACGCATAGTGCATAAGAGAATCAACCAATCGAAATTCTTCTTTTCCATTGAATGGGAGGAGAGGAAAGATTCTGATTAGTTGATTCGTTTATGCACTATGCATTATGCTTTATGCAAAAGTCTGTGTCGCGGCCTTAAATCCGCAAACACAATAGAATAGTAAGCTTAACCCCGGATCTACAATAGGTATTTTAAGCCTTAAGTCATAAAAAATTGACCAATTACAGTTGAATTCGAGAAGAATAATCGACTATGATTCGTCCATTTATTATAGCTTAAGGCTCAGTAACTCGAATCCGGGGTTAAGTCTTAAGGAATTAACCAATCATAGTCGATTATTCTTCTCACATTCAATTGTGATTGATCAATTTCTTAAGGCTTAAGGGTATATCCACACAAACTTGCATAGCCGCATAAACATATGCATAAAGAAAATTATCCAATTGCAGTTCTCTTTTAAAGTCATACATAAAATGTGATTGGATAATTTTTTTTATGCATACGTTTATGCGGCTATGCAAGTTTGTGTGGATATACCTTAAGGCTTACTACTCTATTGTGTTTGTGGACTTATGCATAGTGCATAAAGGAATCAACCAATCAAAATTCTTCTTTTTTATGGAATGGGAAGAAAGGAAAGATTCTGATTAGTTGATTCGCTTATGCACTATGCGTTATGCAAAAATATGTGCTGCGGCTTTTAAAGCGGGGAGCACAGATTCTTGCATAACGCATAACACGTGAGGCCTAAGAAATTGAACCAATCAAAGTGCTCCGTTTCCTTCCTTTCCATGAAATAAAGAACTATGATTGGTTCAATTTCTTATGTCTCATGTGTTATGCGTTATGTAAGAGTCTGTGCTCTCCGCTTGAAGCTCTTTAAGGGTTTCACACATGAAATGCATAACAGAGCATAAGCATAACATTAGGCCGCTAAACCAATGAGCATCTTATGTAAATCAATATGGCGATATTATGGTAGGTGCTCATTGGTCCAGCAGCCTTATGTTATGCTTATGCTCTGTTATGCATTTTATGTGTGATAGGCCTTAAGCCTATCGCACATGAAATGCATAATAGAGCATAAACATAACATAAGACCGCTCGACCAATGAACATCTTATGTAAATCAATATGGCGACTTAATGCTGGATGCTCATTGGTCCAGCGGTCTTATGTTATGTTTATGCTCTATTATGCATTTCATGTGCGATAGGCTTAAGGCCTATCACACATAAAATGCATAACAGAGCATAAGCATAATATAAGGCCGCTAAACCAATGAGCATCTTATGTAAATCAATATGGCGATATTATGGTAGATGCTCATTGGTCCAGCAGTCTTACTATGTTATGCTTATGCTGTATTATGCATTTCATGTGTGAAACCCTTGAGTCATCACACATAAAATGATAGGTAATTATACAGAATAGCTACACCGCCTCCGATTTCGATAAAATTAGGCTCATTCGACGCGTTTTTGCATGAAACGAAAGAATCTGGCAGAAAAAAG